CTTTACAGAAGTCATAGAAATTGAGAATATTAAATATTTTGGGGTCACTAAGCATAAAGATTCTACTTGCCTTTTCTCACTTCATTCAGTTTTTATCATCTTCTTTCAAGCTGCTATATACTCTCATCAAAACATCCCACACCCAAAGCTGTATTAATTAAAAACCACATTTCTATAAGTAATCTATAGAATCCAATTATGGTGGAAAATGGTTAAAAATAAAACTTTTTAGTTTGTCTGTTTTTACTTTAAACTTACTGTGCAAGTGCTGAGGATAAAATTTCACTGATTTTTTTTGGTAAATATTGATAAAACTACTGTTCAATGGACCAGCAAGGAAAACAACAAGATGATAAACTATAAGGATTGTTTCAAATAATCAAAACGGGCAAAGCCAGAATAAATAAAGCAAGGGATTAACTCACTTATCCAATAAATATTTACTGATCACCTCACTATGTACCAAGGAAAAATACAGTAAATTGATGATCAGGAACTCATTCTATGAAACTATCTTCCAAAGAAAACTGGATAAACACCATTATTTCTATCAGTGAGGAGCTGTTCCTATCATCCAACAGAGAGCAGAAAGATGTGATCCTTGAGCAAGTTACCTACCCTCACTAAGCCTTAGTTTCTCATCTGAAATATGGAGATGGTCATAATAACGCCTGTCTCATACTGTCCCAATAATTGCTTAAGTAACACATTTAATACACTTAGAAAAGTGGCAAAAAGTATACAATAGACATAATAAAATAAAGCCTAAAAAGTATCTTGTATTGCCTCTAGGTTCTAATTAAACAACCTAATAAATATAAACTCTAGGTAAGCATAGAACTTAAATATCTTGGAACAGAATCTATACAATTTTTCCCTTAAGCACTGGATATACAGCAATAGCTTCAACTTCAGCTGCTCCCATTGCCTGTACTTTTGTCCTGACCTTTGTGATTTCTGTGCATGTTCCAGTTATGTTGATCCTAAATATAAACCCTGTCTAAATTAATTTTCTTCACTTGTTCTTCCTGAAATCTGCCAATAAAATGCTATTATTGAATACGGTTCTGAGCAATGAGGGTCAAGGAATATAAAATTCATAGTCATCCTCCAGATGAGATAGACTATGTCTGAAATGCAACTCCTTGCAAGGATATTATTCCTGTTAAAAAATAACTCTTTAGATTCTTCCTTTGCTTCAGAAATAGTCGACACCCATCAGTGAACTAGCAGAGCTCCACATTTGGACCTGTAAGTCACTGAGAAGAGAAGGTATCTTTCCCATGTACATATAGACAGTTGCCAATGATTGGCTGGAACCGGCAGGTACCAACTTGTGAGAGATGATTTTGTGCATCTCTTTCCCATTTTCACATTCATTAATTGTTGGTAGCTTAAAATCAGCCAACTCACCAGTTCTTTAAGAACAGTGTCTAGGGATTCTTACTTCAATTATTCAACAGCCCAACCATCCATCCATCTGCCCACCTCTCCTTCCATGCACCTTTCCACTCATCCAACTCTTCAGGTGTCCATCTATACATCCATCTATCCACTCATGCATTTACTCACCCACCTATCATCCATCCATCCATTCAACTGCCCATATATAGACCCCTCTACATCTACTACCTACATCCTAAGTTGCTAGCTTGAAATCACCCCATAGATATTGGCATATGCTATATGAACTTCTGGGGGTTTTTTGAGAAATATTTGTTAAACAGCTAGTAGTCTCTAACATTTGCACAACACTGACAATAACCTAGTGACTATTCCCTTCCTCTGAACTTTTTTCATATATTAAATGCCAGTTTATTTTAAACTGACTGTAAACATCATGGGATGGCTGAGCAGCCTGCCATATAGGCCAAGGGATCTGTCTGCACTGTTCCTCACCCAGGGAGCCTGAGCTTTGGAAAATGCTCAGCCAAGAGGACCTGAAGGGAGGGGAAGATGTCAGGAGGCCAGGATGTCCAGCATCCTAAGAGGTAGAATTTGTGGGGAGGGCAGGGGAGGATAGGGAAATGGATGCAAATTGCATTCCATAAATACTAGAGTGAAATAAATGAAGAAATTTACATTTTCTTTCCTATAACCAAATTTGTTTTTTCTCTTGAATCATATTCCACAAAAGTCTGAGGAGTTAATCTCAGTCTTCCCTAACCTCCTTCTGGACTTACCCAGAAAGTTGACTCCACTGTGTCACAGTGTGGATTGGGGGATTATACAGCTGATCACTGGATATACCAAATACTCATACTGATATCTCATCTGTTATGGAATATGCATTCCCATCTTTTCTCCCATAACTGATTTGTTTTGGTCACTGCTGGACATCTTTGCTACATGGGAAACATTCTACTGCTCCCATCTGCTCTGAGTCTTAGGTAATTATGAGGCTAACTTGGAAAAATCATCCAGACACCCTCCAGAGGATTTCTACTTTCCCAGGCCCTACATGGAACACTTTGGGGAAGGTGATCAAATAGGACCCTTCTGCTCTCAGTTACTCCAACTTATCTGAGGGTCTATGATAACTTTCTCCTCCCCCCTGGCATATAGCGAACCCTTTCTTTGGGATTTGTCAGCGGAAAATGATTTATTCTCCCATCTCTCCTACTTGTTCTGGGAACATTTTTCAGTGTACATAAAAAGAAGATTTTCTTTTACAGCATCATGGATTTTATATCCCCTAAGTTTTTTAGAAATAAAGTTTTGCAATTCAAAGCTTATGGTTGGGGAAATTAAAAGGTATTTTTTCTCTTTTCTGTTTTTCTGTTCGGTGTTTCTCACCTGAGTTGAATACCTCTGATTGTATGAAATGCTAAGTGGTGAAAGAAAAAGTAAGTACAGAGAACTGCAAGTAGACTTCATAAAACTTCAAATAATCATATCCCACCATATTTGCATTAACATATTTACTTACAATACAAAGGGAAAGACGTCTTTTAAAATAATTACATGGCTTATATTTTATAGGCGGTTGCAGAGTCAAGTGAGGGGTTATGAGCAGTGTTTGGGCAGGAAACAAGCAAACTTTTAAGGATTTGGTCCAGGAACATCTAGTATTGAGTGTGATTTGACACCTGTATCACAGGGGGGTAGTTAAGGAGACAAATAGAGAGCTGCACTGCATGCAATAGAAGGCAGAACACACACACACACACACACAGGCTTGTTTTATATATTCCACATGTAACCTCCCTATATTCTTCTCCTAGATCCTTGAAAATCAGGGTGAGAGTGTAGGTCTCAGGGTACACACTAAAGCTGCCTTTTGACTCACCATTTCAAAAATTGGCATTGGAGGATTAGGTTATAATCTAATCAGGAATGCAAGATATCATATAGGTCCATTAAGTGCTGAAATTCAGCAATAGTTTTGAGAGGTAAAACATCTTAAATCTTATTCCTCCGTAATAACTCCTTTTTCTGAAGAATGTGAACTATTGATGTCATACTCACAACTTTTGGTACCCCTTTTCTAAGCTTTCTCAGTAATTCACAACTTTTCCTAAATTCCATAATCTTACAAAAGGATGATGAATCATTGTGAGTGTGAGCTCAATATAAGTTATTTCACTTTCCAAAGAGAAAAGTAAAAATGTCACACAGAACATTCTAAGTGAAAGGGCTGATCCTAATCCCATACTATTCCAAAAGAAGGATTCATTCAACTACATCTGTTAATCTTTCTCACAAAGACTAATTTTGCAAGAGCTGGCCAAGGAAGGACAGATAATATAACATGGAAATCCCCTGCATGATTGCAGTGTTTCTCTAGAGCATGCTTATTGTTAATTTATGACTTTGCACCTTCCACAAAGACTATTGGGAAGAAGTTCTAGGTGCTTTTACTCTTTTGAATGTAAGTTCATAAACAAGACAATATATTCCAGGAAAAAATTATAGCGCATTATGCACTACTTAAATTAACCCTTAGACCCTCATTGACTTCAGAAAGGAAAAGGGTAAATGATGAATAGAGCCAGAGCTGTTTAATCAGATCTACATAATACCCTCTTAAAATGCTACAGTAAAAAAACATGAGACCCCAAATGACCAAACAGTAACAGGAAGTCAAACAAAGTTATATATATTAACAGTGAACTAGGGAATTCCTGTGAGGCATAATACCCAGTGCACTCAGTGCATATAACCCCTTACACACCAAAAGAGATTTTTTCTTCAGGATTAATCTGTATTAAAATAATATATAGTATAATATAAGGTGACTTCTCACCAAGGAAGAATACTAGAACTTATTTTCTGCTTTGGAGATAATACCAAAACACCACCACCAAAAACATGACAAATAACTCTATAGTCACTGCTGTTGTCAACACATTTTGGGAAAAAATACCTCTGTGGCAGATGTCAAGATTGTGTTGGCAAAGCTACATGCTGGAGCATAAATACATGGGGTTTTGTGCATCAGTTACAGCAACCGGAGGTCATATTAGTTCAACTCTATGATTTTTAGTAGAAACTCTTTCATCTTATAAAGACTGAGAGTAGCATTAAGTTGAAGCAGGGTGGCATCCAGAAGATAACCATGTTTGCCTTGTAAATTCTCCATGACTCTTGATAGATCAGATATATTATTTTGTCACTTACTATTTATGCTAATAAGCCACTCAAAAATCCTGTCTTATACATCATATTCTATTACTGATTTAAACAGATTGACTGTTAAAGAGAAAAACATGTGCTTTTGTATGCAAATAAATCTGGCTTTCAATCGCAATGCTTTCACTTACTAGATGTATGACTTTAAATACATTGCATAAAACTTTCTGGGCATCATTTTCCTCATTTGTAAAATAGGGATCAAATTATGTAAACTGTGATTTTGTTATGAGTACATAAAACAACTAGCAGAGTAACTAACTCAAAATCAATACTGGCTAAACACTGGTTCTCTCTTACCTTCTTTCCCTTTTCTGTTACTGAACACAAAAGACATGTAGAGAAAATAAGAAAAACACAAATCTTACCCATAATTCAGCTCTAAAAATCTACTTTGGAGCATCTCCTTAGCCCAGGTTGCCTAGAACACAGAGCCTGAACCAGAGCTTGAGTACTGATGCTTTGATGAGCAATGCCAGAGTAGCTAAAAGGAAAATAAGGCAAAGAATGAGAAATGAAGAGGTGGTGAATTACTCAGAGGTCTTTTCTTCATGAAGAGACACAATCTTCCCTCTGTTACTTATATGAACGAAACATACTGCGAACCATATCAGTAAACAAAGAATGCTGAAGCCATCAAGTCATCAGCCGCTGCTGCCACCCCCCAGTGAAGACAAGCCTGCAGCCCAGCCTCTGCAGCCACTCACAATGGTGCACTCTGAGGGGACTCAGAATAAGAAAGGACAGAAGACTGGCCCTAGATTGCTAGGTGCTTGTCAAAGGAATGAATTCAATGAGCCCAAATGTTTGCTCCCTCCCATACATAGAAAAGTGCTAAATTATTTAACTTGAGATGTCTGGTTTTCTTTAGTTAACAAGTAATCTTTTAATGTTTGATCTACCTGGTCTTTGTTGTAAAGCTCCTATATATCCTAGCTCCTCCTCTACCTCTTCAGAGCAGTCCTTCAGAGTGATCTGAGAGGCTGCCATCCCAGCTCGAGTCCTCCCGCCAAATTAAACAAACCTCTCAACTTTTAGGCTGCACATTTATTTCAGCTGACACTTACAACATCTACAGGCAGGCTGTAAAGAAACACCATGCCCCAAAATAGACAAAGAAGAGGAAATGGAGCAGGACTTTATCTGTCTGCTTCCACCATCTTTCATTGGTCAATGTTTGTCCATGGGGGTTTCTGGTTTGCATTCAACAGGTCAGATAATGGACTGCCTAGACTTGCATAGGGAGTGGGTGGGTCTTCACGGCAGCAGCCAGAGCAAAGAGTCAAGAGCTCCAAAGACAGGCAAACAGAGAATCTGAAGCAGCACCTAGGAGGTGTCACTACGGTTCTTACCAACTTTTCTTCATCAGATTTGCTTGAGTGTCATGTGACACCAAGTTTCCTTTCTTGAATCCCTTAAGCTCTTATTGTTGGATTTTAAGCAGACATGGACGAGAGAGGTCTTTCGACAACAGAAACATCTGTGTAGAGGTGTCATAGCGCAATCTGAAGCACGCAGTGGCAGATAACTTTGAGTATCAAAATTAGATATTGGCCCTCTGGTCTTGTTGTTCAGTCTTGAGTCATGGCTCTGGATAATAGATTCAAGGGCTGCATGCCAAGTAACACAGAGTTGTGGTATCCTCTTGAACTTTTGAATGAGGTTTACAGTAGGTAGAAATTGGAAAATTTAGCCCTAAAGGCATGCTGGAAGAATTCTTGACTCCTAGAAAGAGAACAAATGTTTCAACCTCATTTTGTACCTAGTTCCCAGATGTTGCACTTGAGTGTCAAACAGTTGAGGGCTCGATGCCTTTGGCATTGTATAGCTCAGCACAACTATATGAAAATGTCCTCACTTGGACTGTAAAATTAATTACTCCCTGATTTTTCTGCAAATGTGTCATGTAGATAATTCTAATGCCTCAGAACACTTTTTTACCAGTAGAAGATGCAGGAAGTTAGTATTAGTTACATTTTGAGAAAGGAAGAAAAAGAATGGGATGAGTTATGAAAAACTCCCATTTTATTCTTGGCCTAGGTAGTTTAGTTTTTTTAAGAACTTACTCTTCAGAGATAAAGATCATACAAGCAGAGCTGCAGTAACATAAAGAAGTTATATTGAAAGATTTAATTTCACATATTCAATGCATTCAAATGTTCTAAGAGTTCTACAATAATTCTTTAGTTATTTTGGTAAAATATTATAAATGTTAATTTTAATGATATCAAGTCATCCTGGCTTTACTATTAACTAACTGGAGGACTCTGAGAAAATAAATTCATTCACTTTTTCTTTTTCAATCTCCTCATCCAGAAAACAGAGATAATAAGTTATTTTGATGACTGATAGAGTTAATTGTGTAGTACTTAGAAAAGCACTGGCTTCTAACAATTGCTCAGAAAGAGTTGGTTGTTTTTATTATTTTTAAGTAGTAGTAGTGGCAATATAGTTATATAATGCAGAAGATTTCTAATAAAAGAGGCATAAATCATACCAAATTCACCTTTACATAAATAATCATCCTTAATAATAACTGAATATTATTTTGGCATTTCTCTACACATGCATACAGATGGAAGACTATATGCATACAAAAAAATACATAGGCCAGCAAAATAATCTTTGACAATTTACACTCTGTTTTCTATTCTAAAATAAAAATACTGAATTTAACTGTAAATGTAACAGAATTAAGAACTGAAAGGAAAATAGGGGGACGACTGAACTTCAAATATTCTGTAACCAATAGATAGTTCCTGAAAGAGGCCTCAGAGATTAAGAAACAAAATTATAAAAACTATTAAGAAATTGAAGTCATTAAGTTTATTCTTTTTGCTTTGTAATATTATCAATTGACTCCATGTTTTAAAAGATTAAAAAAAAATCCATAACTTTTTCTATCTTTCCTCCTCCATTCTCTTCTGAAAGACATACCATTTATTTTGTATTTTCAAGGTTTATAACTTATATTCTGATCTTAAACTATAATTCTCCATTGTCTAAGCAAAAATGTGTTCTATATTTAAAAGAACTCAAGTCTTTCACCAGTTTTGTGTTGTTTTCGCTTTGGTTTGTTCTATTTGCTGTTACTGTTATTTAGTCTTTTGTTTTAAACCACTACTTCTTTAAGCCTGAGTCCTTTGTTTCAACTTACCTCTTCATTGGATTTCATCATCAAGAGAATTTTTTCAAGAAAAGCTCAAATGTGCTATAGTCTTTGTGCCTGCCTGAGATGTTTTCCTCTTGCCTGTATCCTCAGAAGACAACTTGGCTTGGTATAAAATTCTTGGGTCTGGTTAAAATTCTCCCATCATAACCATTGTATAATTATTGCTTCACCGTAACCTAGCACTGAATTTTGCACTAGTCAAACCATGACTTCCTCCATTCACCCTGGTTGCCTGGATTTCATCAGTATTTCTGTTTTCAAGAAGGTTTCTAAATGCTCTACTCCTTGAGTTTTCCCTGTTTAGGAGTATCTGCCAGTCACTTTTACATTTGCATGACAACATGGACTATATAATATTCTTTAGAAATACTTTCCCACAATACTTGATAGATATTAATTTGTTGTCTTTTGGTCTTTTGGTATTGAATATTACTGTAAAGAAATTTAAACTCAGTCTTTAAATGTCAGTTATAACTAAGAAATCACTCCTTAGCCTTAGGACTTAGTAATTTAACCAAGATGTATCAGTATCTTTCTCTGGAACACATGAGATATCCTTGTATCTGTAGATTGATTTTTTTCCTTTATTTTAGAGAATTTATCATCAATTATAGCTTTAAATATTTCTTCTGTCCACTTTATTGAATTACCTAATCAAGTGCACCAATCTTTCTAATGTTGAACAGTCTTTGTCCTATTTCTCTTTTTGTCTTTTTTTCTAGTTCTTTTAAATTTCTTTTTCATCCATATGTCCTGTGATTATGTTGAAACTTTCTTCTATGTAATTATTTAGTTAGCTGTGTCTGCTATTTCTAACTTGTTTCTTAATTATATAACAGTATTATTTTGATCCTCAATTATTTTCCTGTCTTTTAGTAATCTCCATTTTTATCCTAGTTTGTGTTTTCTCATTTTATCTTTAAGTCTCTGTTTTTTTGAATCTATGTTCTTTATTGTATCCTTCCATAAAAATAAAACACCTATAGGAAATTTTTTTCTATCTCATGGTTTTCAAGCTAGGTTCTTTCTTTTTTATATCATTTATTTCATTTCTGGTAATAGTGTGTTTTCATATCTGTCATTTCTTTTTTTCCCCAGTGATTTCTTTTTTCTAATTTTTTATTTGCTATTAAAGAATAGCTGATTTATAATGTTTCAGATATACAGCAAAGTGATTCAGTTATACATATATATATATATATATATATATGTATTCTTTTACAGATTCTTTTATATTATAGTTTATTGAAAGATACTGAATTGAAAGATCCCTGTGGTATATAGTAGGTCCTTGTTATTTGTTTTATATATAGCAGAGTGTATCTGTTAATTCCAAATTCATCCCTTCCTTACCCCCTTCCCCTTTGGTAACCATAAGTTTGTTTTCTATACCTGTGAGTCTATTTCTGGTTTATAAATATGTTCATTTGTATCATTTTTTAGATTCCATATATAAATGATATTGTATGATATTTGTCTTTCTCTTACTTCACTTAGTATGATATTCTATAAATCCATCCATGTTGCTGCAAATAACATTAACTCATTCTTTCTAACAGCTGAGTAATATTCCATTGTATATATATATACACCACATCTTCTTTACCCATTCATCTGTTGATGGACATTTAGGTTGTTTTCATGTCTTGGCTACTGTAAATAGTGCTGCAATGAACATTGGGGTGTATGTATCTTTCTAATTAGAGTTTTCTCTGGATATATGCCCAGGAGAGGGATTGCTGCATCATATGGTAACTCTATTTTTGGTTTTTTAAGGACCTGCCATACTGTTCTCCATAGTGGCTGCACCAACTTACATTCCCATCAACAGTGTAGGAGGGTTCTGTTTTCTCCACACCCTCTCCAGAATTTACTATTGTAGACTTTTTGATGATGGTCATTCTGACTGGTGTGAGGTGATACTTCATTTTGGTTTGTATTTTGTATTTGTTTTGTATTTCTCTGTTTTGATTTGTATTTCTCTGGTAATTAGCAATGTTGATTATCTTTTCATGTGCCTCTTGGCCATCTATATGCCTTCTTTGGAGAAATGTCTATTTAGGTCTTCTGCCAATTTTCTGATTGGGTTCTGTTTTTTTATTGAGCTATATGAGCTGTTTGTATATTTTGGAAATTAATCCCTTAGTCCTATTGTTTGCAAATATTTTCTCCCATCCCATAGGTTATCTTTTCTTTTTGTTTTTGGTTTACTTTACTGTGCAAAAGCTTTTAAGTTTAATTAGTTCCCATTTATTCATTGATGCTTTTGTTTCCATTACTCTACGAGACAAATCTTTCCATTTCTTTTTATCTCACTATGCTTAAGCCAGATAGCTATAACCAAGAGTTTTATTTTCTCTGATAAAGCTTTAACATTTTCCCTTTGATTCTCTTTCCATCTTATTTCAAGCCTGATCATGCTCCGTACAACAAAGAGGGAAGGAAGTTAACAGGAGAAGGAGAAAGAGGAAATTTTACTGAGGCTACTAACAACCTCTGTTGGATGACATGGGCTTCATTGCCTCTTTGAGATTTAGTTAAACACCTTGTACCAGAATTCTTTACATTTGGTCAATGCATCCATTTCTGTGGGAGGATGGGCTTCAGAATATTCCCCCCAATTCCATACAGAACCCATCAGAAAGAGTCAACTCCATATAATTCACATCCACTATTTCATTCATCCATTCATCCAGCAGCTCTTTTCATCTCTCCACCTCTCACCCCTTAGTAATACTTCACATTATGCCAGGGAAACTTTAGCCAGGATTCTCAATGAACCTTATGTATTCAACTCTCTCCCATCCTGACTATGGTTTGTTTATTCTACCTTCTTTCTCCTGACCTTGCCTATTCATGATTCTATGATCAGGAGCTCATTCAAATATGGAATTTAACCTTAAACATAAATCATTCTAAAGTCAACATTAATTCCAAACTGAAGCTAGATTACCACTCATTGGGTAACTGTAAATGACAGCAAATATATGCTAAAAGAGGAAAGATGATTTATCTGAGTCAGCGAGAACAGACAGACAGGTGATAGATAACACTAATCAAACTCAACAGCAAAAGAAGTACTGGAGCCACTGACTATGTCTGCAGAGCAGGGCTTAGTTATGCAGCCGGGCAAACAAGTAATAGCCTCTAAGGGCCCATCCGTCTCAGTTGAGGTTAAATTATTGATATTGAAAAGTCCAAAGTAAGATGTCAAGAACTGAGCAGAAATAATGATAGTGAGATAATAAGTAGATAAGTGTAAGCTGCAGATACTAGGAAAGGACTCAAATAATAAGCTGAGATTCAGGGATAGGATCCTAGGAAAGTAGAGTCTGAAAACAAGCCAGGATTCATAAGGGTAACATGGCAACTTAATATTGATATATATGGTAAAGAAAGAACCCAGAAGACAGATCAAGGCCTCCATCACTGAAGTACTCATAGGCGATGAGAGTTGAACCTGAGGAATGGTAAGGATGCCAGTTAAGTACTAGGGTTCTGCATCTCAGGCCTGACTTTCTATTAAATTCCAATTCAGTCCATCACTGGAACAACCTGATACTTCCTTTACCACTCAGGATTGGCTCAGAAACTGCATTGGGAAAGAGTTTTCAGGAAGGAAGATCATGACAGCCATATATGACCGAAACTGGAAATGGTGGAGGCAGAAGAAAGCCTTCTGGAAGCCAGTTGGTGGTCAGTTTGTACACAATCACGTCCTCCAAAGAATTCTCCCTAATTAGAAGGGCAAGATTTTGGCCCACTACAGGCACTGAATGAAGTGCCATATAGGTTATTCCTAAAGTTTGTCATTTTCACAAAGTCTCACCTTACCCTGAAGTTTTAGTTTAAGCACAATTGCAATAACCCAGTGACTTGTACAATGTGTTTAAAGACATCTGTTTGATTAAATATGATTAAGATACTCTGTTTTCCTTTAGGATCTCCCTGCCCACGACTACCCCTGCCTCTTTATCATCCCCAGGAAAAGGTACATTGTTAAACCTTTTATGTGAATTGTTATAAAGGAATGACATTATTTTCTCTTGTAAACACTGAATCATTCACAAATTGGTTAACCACCTTCTG